CCCCCACATATAAAATTAGTAAACTAGTTTTAAATTGTATAAATTGTAAAAATTAGATGAAATATTAAAGAAATAAGGATAACTATTTTAATTATATATTGCTATGCGTATTTGCAAACTATAGAATAAAAGGCAAATGTACATATACATATACATATTATATATATATATATATATATATATATATATATAAAGCCACAGTAATGAACTTCATAAACTGAAAAGTACAGAAATTACAAACACTATTTTTTAAATTTATCTTAGAATTTTTCATTAATTATGTCTTCTTTTTTCGATTAATGAACTTACGAGAGTAAGTTATTTTTTCTTAAGAATAGCATATTAAAAATCGCCTAATTATAAAGAAATTAGTTAATTAATGAAAAGTGGAATTGATCAATTTAACTTCTGAGAGACTCTTATGTATAGATATACATATAACATATACAATAATGATATATTTCAATTGTACCCATTACACCATAGTTATAGTAACATCAACAATTTTAGATTTTTGCCTATCATATTCTTAAATATGTTGCTATATCCATAAATTTGTAAGAATGAATAGAATTGTATATTTTCATTTTTTTTTAAATTGGAAGTTAACAAGGGTAATATGGACAGCTATAATGTTTTAAGTATTTTTATGCAATATTCATCATATTTTTGCAAGGCTAGAGAAAATACTTTCCCATTTGAATACAATTTTAATATTACATACTTTTCCTAAACACGATCACAGTGTAAAGGCATACAGTTTAATGCTTCTGGTCCATTTTCAGTTAAATCTATTTTGCTTACTTCATGTTTAAATATTCTACATACAATGTTAGGTAACATATTTTGAATTTATAATATGCAACATTTTAAATTATTTATATGAAAACCATTTTTATTCTCAATTATTGTTTTTTTGACTTGTTATTTGAAATAAGAATTGTTTAAAATAATAATATAATATTAAATATATAATATTTTTGCTACAAATCAAATTAACTTTTGTACAAAATAAACGTAAAGTAAATCAGTTTGGGCATGTAAATACTAGAGACTATTTAAATCATAATTAAAAACTGTACCTATCCAATTATACTTATCTAATTGCATCTATATGTACTTTAAGAATTTCTAAAAATTTTTCTAGATTATTACAAAGACATCAATAATTCTACATTTGTGGAAATAGAACCTAAATCAATTAAAATTATTATGGTAAAATTAGATTTAATTAAATTTAGTTTAACTATTTGATTAATTATTGAAATGAAGATGAACAATCACAAGATAAAATAAAATGGAAATATATATTCATATGTAGCTTCTTCGCATGTGTTGATATAATATATTAATTTTTAAATCTTAACAGCTTCTCACATTAATATAGCAAGAAAATAAAAAATAGCTCACAGCAAATTTTAAGATGCAAATTGAAATATTACTTGAAATATAGTGAAATGCATATCAAGCATGAAAGATTTATATATATTCTTATCTTACTATTTTGTCAGATATCTTAATAATTCAACAATTTATAATAATGCAGTAACAGTTAGCTTTGATACATTGAATTAAAAAATGATAGTTCTCTTTAAAAAATTCCACTGAAAGAAATATTATTTTCTGTAGACACACAATTTAGACTGTTAAGAAATCAATTAGTTTTAAACAGGATGATAAAAATCTGTATATAACGGGTATATATAAAATAATCTAATTAATACTGCCCCTCTCATATAATTTATGGAGCATTAATTCATTAGTATTTTTAAAATAAATTTAATTCTAGCACACTAAGATAGAGAATAATTTATTACATAATTGAATATGTACTTCTTTTGTTTTTTTTCTTAATTACATTTTCACGAATATAGTTATTATTAAAAACATTATTTGCTCACAGGCTCTTTTGCTTTTTTTGCTTTTAAAGACAAAATAATTTAATAAGAAATATTTTCTGTATTTCATTTTTGTATGATCGAGCAAGAATATGATGAACACGCAGTCTGTTATAGAAAGATATTTAAGAAAGTTTTACATTGACGATGCTAATTTAAAATTCTTATTCTTAAGAAAAGTTATGTAATATTTATTTAAGATATTAACTATAATAATCATTTATATATTCATTAATGTTTACTTTTAGTGTTAAAAAATATTGTTTTGTATCAAAAAACACATGTAACACATGATACATCATGATCAATGTAAAATATCTCATAACAGAAATATTTTACACTTTTTATGAATTTAGATAATTTAAAATTTTGTTAACAAAAATAATTAATTGGAAAAGCTTCATTATTTCAAAAATATAACAATAAAACTTTGATATATAGTAGGAAAATACGAAAAATAATAAATTTTGAAATAAAGAAGCATCGTCAAGCTTGAGGCATATTTAAAACTTAATATATTGGAATGCAAAGTAACAATAAATAACTTACGTATCGATAAATAATACAATAATGACAATAATAATAATAACATAATCATGGTAATAACATAGTAATAGTAGTAATTATATTAAATATTACGCAATTTACGAAACGATCTTTAAATAACTACTACCATTGATAACAGTAATCGTGCGTATCGCGCTTAATGTACTTGTTTAATATAGAATATGTACAGAGTACCCAATTTAATTACACATTCTATTGTAATTTGTTACTTTTATTTTCTGAAACTAACTATGATATTTTAGTATAAATTTCTAATGATTGTGATTCGAAATTTTTGTATATTACATAACATAGTATAATAACACAAATTTATGCACATAAATTGAATATTCTGTATTAAACGTACATACACACACACGTACACAAAACACTTATTAAGGTCTCGAAATCATATTTCGCAACTATTAATGAAATAAACCTTTTTGTAGTTATTTATATTGAAACAAATATTTAATTTTCATTTAACCATAATTAAATACTGATCTTATTTTAATTTAGTTTGCAATTAACTTCTAACTTTATATACCTTTATGTAAAATTTAACTTTAACAACTACATAATGATTTTTATTCTGATATTCTTATCAATTTCTGAAATATGATGTCTTGACTTTCTTATTTGCATACCTTTTTTATACTTTAATACTTTTCTGTACAAATATTTTTATATAAAATATTTCTTATACTGACGCAATATTTTAGTTGTCATATCCTTTTCTTATTTATATATCTGTATTTATATGTAACACACGGCTCGGTTCTTTTTTCACACCATAATAATAAATTGACAACTGAAATTTAGTTTGTAAGTAATTTTCCTTGATTATTCGTGATTCTTTTCTACATACAAATAACCAAAGTAACAACATTCTGTAATGATCATAAAATCCTTTCTATAATAAAACTAAGTAAAATTATGGATAAGGACACATTACATAAATATAAAATTAATAAAATTTAACAAATAATTTTACAAAAAAAACCAAACAGAAAACAGTGCGTAAAAAGAATTTGAATAGAAAAAAAGAGCACATTTTGGTAATATAGTCACTGTTTTTTTCTATCTAAATATACATAACTATGTTTAAAACTATCAATAGAGCTTCTGGAATACGTTTTAGTAAAGCTCCATGGACGGATCATTCGTACCATCACAAATTAGCACGTTTCGGACGAATGTGAGCGTTGGCAAAGGTATTTTGATGAAGGCACGACTTTTTCCAGATTGCAAAATTATTTCTCGAACCTCGTTTACTTGATTTCTAGTTAATCAATATCTACATATATAGATATTAAAATAAATAAAAATATTAAGTTGGAACATTGTAATACATATGCTTTATAGCAGAAAACAATTCTTTTTAACTCAAGATTATGATTCTGTTCATATAAATTATAGTAAAGTAATTTATATTATATAATAACTATTTAAATAAACGAGGTTCTAAGAGCTCTTAAAAGAATATTATTCTTTCAATAAAATTATTGATGACTTTTGCTTAATAAATGCGAATTAAATTGATATAAGTTGCAACACTGTTCTCCACAAATATTGCATTTCCAAGGATTGCTTTCACTATGACAACCTTTGTGAAGAAAATATAATGTTTGATCAGGAAAAGTAATCCTACAGTGAGCGCATTGAAGTCCACTACTTCGTTGATCGGGCCTTGTCGAACTAGGAGGTTCTCCTCTTGAATGGGGATTTGAATTTGAACTATTATTACCTATTACAAAATCAATTTATCTGTTAAATTATATTTAGATCAATTATATGAAAATAGTTTAAATAATATATAATAATATATGCAATAATCGTATATATTAATTAAATCGAGTATCAGGAAAACAAAGATAATTTATTTATGATTGTCATATTCCTGATTAATCTTTATATATTTTAAAATACAAAATAGTAAAAATGTTAGAGAACATAGCTAAGATAGAATAGAATAGAGAACATAGATATTTTCATAACAAAACATAAATAAATGTAATTCATATTTAGGAACCATAAGTTATATTAAGGTACTAATAATATAAATAACTTAATAAGATAATAAAGTTACCATTATTATTATTGTTGTTATTGTTATTATTTCCTGAGCCAGATGAAAGTTTACGTCGTAAGTCGTCTCGAAGAAGGGATTTTAATGGAGAGACTTTTATCAAGGATGGTAATGGAAGATTGCTGGATGTTGCTCCATTTTCTTCCGCTCCATTACTGTTTGGTTCTTGCTTAATAGGAATTAATGAAATAGAAGGTGTAATTGCCTCTTCACTTCCACCAAGATTCCTTAATTAAAAAATTAGTTTAAAATAAATTTAAAATAACATAAAAATGAAAATCAATTTTGTAATCTTTTCTATACCTGTGAATGCCACTACTGTTAATTGGTAACTGATGGTGACTACTACTTGGAGCATTACTATTACTGTCTGCACTTTGAGGACTATTCGGGCTATCTCCATTTAAAGGGGCAGGACTCGGATTTCGTTGATTTGTAGTTTGTTCTGGATAAGGAATTGATATTTCTATGTGAGGTGTTAGAAAGTGCATTGGCGGTGTTGCATTATCCGCGGAACGATTTCCAGTACTGTCTCCACTATCGGAAAGAGGAGCAGAAGGCATAGCTTCACCTGGAGCACAGCTATTCATCAATGAACTTGAACTGTTTGGTCCTGGATTATCTAGATCGATTCCATGTCTAAAATAGAAATAAATAAGTAAGCACTTAACAGCAAAATAACGTTATTATAAAACAATATAATATTATTAAAATAATTAAACACTAACCTATTAAAAAAATGTAACCTGAGGCACTTCATAGTTGCTGCACGATAATTGCACAAAGGACAAGACTTGACCATATCATGTTGGCCGACATGTTCATTTTGAAAATGAGCTCTCATAGCAATTTGTCTTTGAAAACCTCGGTTGCAAATTGGACAATGATAAGGCAGAGTCTTAGAGTGTGTTGTAAAATGTTCTGCCAAGTGATCCTTCCGAAAAAATCTTTTCTGGCATACACGACATTCATATGGTTTCACACCAGTGTGTCTCATCTATAAATAGTACTCATTTTTTCTTACATTAAAATCGCTTAGCTTTCGAATCTTAGTAATTTTAAAACATAAGCAAATTTATTTCATACCTTATGCCGTCTCATGTTAGCTCCATTGGAAAACTGCATATTGCAAACATCACATTCAAACATTTTCCTATGAGAACGAATTCCAGGATGCGTTTCTTCTCCATCTCCATCATTTTCAGTAGCTTCTATATTCTCTGTGCTTTCTCCTGGCTCAGCACTAGCCAAACATTGATCCTGATGAGCGCAGAATGCTGTCTTATTTATAGTTTCATAGTTCTCACACCTTTCACACCTGTCCACACGTTATGGATCCTTTGATACGCTATTTAACACCTTGATTATCTAAACGTTTATTGGAATTTTTTTAAATACAAAAAATTAATTACATGAAGATGACAGACCTAAAAGCTGGTACAGCACCATCACCACTATCGTAATTAGTATTTAAGGCAGCTTCATTATCTGGATCCAAATTCTCCTCATCTCTCGGATTTGATGATTCTCCAACATCGGCGTGCGAACAGGAATGGGAATCTACCTCGTTTTCCCCGCCACCAGCATCAACCCCATCTGACATGATACTGAACCCTCCAGAAACTATATTGTTGAACCTGCACCATTCGTCGTTGATTACCTACAATATTGAACAAATATAATTCAATTTATCCTTTTTTCCAATAATACGAATTTACATATCTTAAATTTTCAATGTATTATACATAAATTTACACAATATACATGTAACATTAGAAATTTTTATGAAGACACATGCAGTATTCAGTTTCGTTACAATTTAATTCAATAACATAATGTTCATACTAATAATACACTACTACTAATAAACAATGGAACAATGAATAACAAATGAAATAATAAAAAAGAAAAAACATACAATAAATATAAGTAACCCAACTATATTCTCGAAAATTTCGATGTTTACCTGTCAGTTTCGATCGAGGATTCGAGGATGACGAGACGATTGGTCAATCCTGAGAGTAAGAGAGAGAGAGAAAGGGGAAAAGAGGGGGGGAGGGTACTAGGACATGAAGTGAGAGAGATTCCGGCAAAGCGCAATGCCAGAGTACACTGCACTTTGTCCCAGTTTCGGGGGAATCCGTCACTGGTGACGTAGTTTTCCGCCGATCTGGCTGGCCTCGTCACCGTATGGTCAACATCGTTCTACGAGAAAGAGGGAGTCTGAAGTTTTTACTTAGTTTTCTTGCTCAAATTATACACAACCAACCATCTCCACTATAACCTTATTTTAATTTGTCCTTTGTTCAAAAATGTACAACACTTATATGAACCACTGCACACTACTCTCTTACTGCCTTCTTCTGAATGATCGATTAATCGAAATAATCGATTCGACGATATTCGACTTCATAGTAATTTTCGATCTATCAAATCGGTTATCTGTCGATTTTTTTCTATATATTGGCTGCAAATGTAATATTACTCAAGAAATGAGTAAATGAACTAATCAAGGACTAATCTACGTAACATTTGATTAAGAAACATACAAATTGCGTAAGTAATGTTATACGCAAACAGTTGTTTATACACTTTTACTTTATTATATACATTTTTTCGCAAAAGATGTAAATAAGAATGTATTTCAATATCGAATCATATGTATGATGACGAGAGTATGTTATATACGAATAATAAACTTTCTAAATAATTCATTTTTTGGAAGAGGAAGAGAGAGAGATAGAGAGAGAAAAAGAAAGAGAGAAAGAGGAAAAATATTTAAGTCTTAACATTTAATATGCCTTTTAATATCTGATTATATCAATGATATATTATTAATACTCAATGTTAAATTCAGTATTGTTCGCAAATATATCGAAATAATGTATGTATTTTCATTTTGAGTTGAACTGCATTCTAGACCACAAAAAATTTTTGACCGATATCTATATTTTCTTATACTCAGCTTCTAGTAATCAAAGGGTAGAATCCAAAAATACCAGTTTTTAAGTTTCAAAAACCTTCCAAATTTAACCTAAACCTTAACTTTATCTTAACCTAATCTAAACCTCTACTTCACTTACAAACCCGACACTGTTATTAATTGTTTTGTGAACGTACCTATCTGTATTAAGTTCAATATAACTCGTGAAACAAAAGTAATATTCGAACAGAAAGTTTTTAAAATTCAAAATTAATATTTTTTAAAACATATAGATCAGTTAAAAATTTGTAATGTCTCAAAACAAACCTTAATATCATTTTATGTATTTATGTTTTCAAACTATGCACTTACTTATTAAAAATAATAAAAAACAATTGAACAATTATGAGAATAAAGTATAATATAATGATAAATATGACAGCTGTGTACATATTTTAAAGAAATAATTAATTTTTTTAATTTTAAGTATATATGTATGTATATATATATATAACATATAGAAGGAATATAAAATATACGATATTGTATAAATAATATGTTAAAATATAAAAACAAACAATAACAAAAGTTATAAGCTAAGTGATTTCATAAAGCAAAGTAAAAAAAAGCTTGTAATAGGCATAGAGCAAAAAGAATCTTAATCATTAACATCATCACGATATTCATATTTACTATTATTTCCTTAAAAATAAAAATAATTTTTAATTAATTTATATTTCAGTATCAAAAACCTTTTCTTTAAATACTTATAATATGTGAATTAGTACAAAATTAGTCAAAAGATACATAGCTAGCTATATACAACAGCTGCAAAAAATATTCTTGCTTTTTCTAATGAAGCATCTTTTTATCATGTTCTACAATTTATTTTCATTGTATCAAATTTTTGCAGTCCTATGGAAAAATTATTGAATGATACAGAATCTAACATACTTGGTTCCAATTAATAAGTGTGTAAATACTATAATGAATAAAATGGTGTCTAAATATTCTTTATAGCCACTTGTACCTCATAAAAATAATTCTGTTCTGAACTTTAGTTCAGTTTATGTATTGTGATTATAGATTATATTATCCTATAAATACTATTAATAACGATCTTATTAGAAGTTGAAATAATGTTTTCAGTAAACAAGTAACTGTACTATTATGACTTTATGATTTTAAAGGTCAGTATAATTACATAACTTTAACATTGGTTATCATGTTGTTAGTCAATAAATTGAAGAATCCTAATTACAATTTTGTTTAAAAAAATAATATAGCAGAGAGGAAATTTCCTTCCTGAATTAATGCATTAAATATTCGACCTTGTCCATGAGATAGTTTTATTAGTAATAATAAAAAAAATTAGTCAAGTTAAAGAAACAATACGAAGCTTTCCTACGTACTAATGATATCTTTATCATCTTTAAAAAAACATTCTCTAATTTTTCTTCAGATTTGACAATATGATAAAATTTTATCAAATTGGTACGCATGCGTATAAATCGTTCCTGCTGTTAGTTCAATGTATGTAATGGACAATGAAACACATGCATCTGTAATCTACGGCATAGAACGACAGTATAACACGGTGTGTCATGGTGAACGTGTTGATGTTTGTGCAAGTTTGTTATAGCTATATCTCGAAAACTTAAACCGCGCAAATCATTTCGATATTTCTCGATCTTTCGACGTTTATACAAGACCGTGTTCAAAATCTCACAAAACTTGAATTTCTCGTTTAATCAGTGCTTGGGAAAAATAAAGTCGTAAATAGAGAAAATAATAAGGAGAAAAAGGAGTAATTTTTGGTGAAAGTTAGGTACGTAATTTCTGTGTTAAGAAATCCAGTCTCTTTTATCAGCTGTTCATATAATGGGCGCAGCAGCCAATCAGGATGAGGTTCATATGACAACAGTAAGTTCATTTTCCCTTTTTTATATAACTTTTTCTTCTTAGTTATGATTGTTATGAATATGAATAATGGTATTAGTATTAGTATTAATTTTAGCTTTAGTTTTAGTATTAGTATTACTACCATTCGTGCATCATTCAATGTTCTCGAGTATGACACATAGTTAGCAATAACATATTACAACATATTAGCACGTATTAGTACATACAAGTTTTTAAAGTGTCACTGAATTATTATTAATTCAGTATAATATTGTGCGTATTTATTTTGTATATGAAATGTATGATATCTTTTTGAAGCAATAATTATAATAATATTTTCATTATACCAGAAAGAAATACTTATATTACTTTTGTTTTCATATCAGTTATTATTTAATATTAATATAACTTAATATTTTATCATCACATATTACGTTATTATTATATGATTATCATATAACGGTTATATATGATTAAAAATAACAAAATAACAATAAAAAAAGTGTTTTTCAGCCAGAACTAATTACTGTCCATGGTTATAAATCAGAAACACATCATATTTGGACAGAAGATGGATATTGTCTAGATGTGCATAGAGTTTTACCAAAATCTCATCAAAATTCTGATTGCAATGTAAGTGGGAGTAATGAGCAAAATTTAAGTAATAAAAATACAATAGAGGTAAGTTACAAATATAAAAGTTATCACAAAGTTATTAATTATCATAAAGAAATTAATCCATTCAGAGATTAAAAATTTAACTCTTTCCCTACTGAAAGCCATTATATGATAGATTTCTTGTGTTTAAATATTTTATTTAAGCAAATGTATGTGAAAATACTGTATTGTCTGATAAATATCAATGGTATTTCAGTATTCATCAATTTATATTACTTTGTGTTAGTCTTATGTAATATAATACAATTTAAGTATAATATTTGATATAAATATCTTTTTTAATTTTTCAGCCATGCTGTAGTGAAAGAGTTAAAAATTATTCAAACTATATTAAATTATGATAACATAAGATTTGTGTCAACATTACAAATAAATGTCTGATATTTAGTACGGAAGCCATGGAGTCAAGGCAAAAGAATCAATACCAGTTCTCATTCATCATGGACTTCTATCAAGTTCAGCTGATTGGGTATTACTGGGTCCAGAAAAGGCTTTAGCATATCTTTTATGTGACAATAATTATGATGTCTGGTTAGTAAATGCAAGAGGCAATGCATATTCTAGGAAACATAAAAAATATACAACTAAAGATAAAGAATTTTGGGATTTTAGGTAATTTTATGTAAAAAATTATTAAATAGAATAGAATAAATAACAATTTTAGGTAAAAATAAGTATAAAATAGATTAATCAACAGGATCATGTTTGCTTAGTATTTGCATTTGTATCTTAGTTAGTGATACATTTTATTCACTATTTATGTTATTGGTTTCATAGAGTGAATTGTGTTATGCAGTAAAATATATTTAAAGCTAGATCTTGGATCAGTGATGAGTCATTTGACTACTGATCAATCTACTTCACACACAATGTGAGTCAAATGAATTGGAAGAGAAAAACAGGCTAATTTCTGTAATTCTAGCTTTCTGGATGGTATTTATGATGAAGTCCCAAATCTGCAAACACTAAGCAGGCATCGTTGTATATATGAAAAATTAATTATGTAATAAATAATTTCACTGTTCTTTTAGCTGGCATGAAATTGGGTATTATGATTTACCAGCAACAATAGACTACATTTTGGAGCATACTGGATATGCAGAACTTTATTATGTGGGTTATAGTCAAGGTACAACTGCATTTTATGTAATGGCCAGTGAAAAATCTGAATACAATCGAAAAATTAAAGGAATGATCAGTTTAGCACCAATAGCATTTCTCGCAAATCATAGGAGCCCTTTACTTAAGTGTGTTGTCCATTTTTATGGATTAATGGAGGTATGTTTCTTAGTATCCATGAAATAATTTGTTATTGTAGCCAGAGGTGGTTAAATTACAAGTGTTATGTATCAAATCTCAAAAAGAATTTTTACAGAAAGTACAATATATAAAGTGTATTGAAAATCATGATACGAGCTAAAAAGGAATAATTGTTAATATTTTATTTTGAGAGTTCATTTTTGAGAAAATTGAATTTGGAATTTTTATATCACATATAATTAACTAATATCTGCATATGAGTGAATTAGCATGAGGTCAGTTGTACAAGTGAAAATAAGTTAGAAATGTAGAATTTTCCATTTGTATATTGAATATATAACTGTAATTATAACTGTAAATATGATATGCAAAAAATATTACACAATAAAGCTTTTCATGGATAGATAAACAATAAAACCTTTTAGAGTACTTCTTTCTCTTATTTTAATTAATAAGATATGCTGTTTTCTTCCAATAAATTATAATTTGAATAATATTCAAATATTCGTAGAAACAAAAGAATTTAATTAGTTTTAATAAATGATAGCAGCTGTCATAAATTCATTAAATAACAGATATAATAAATGATTCAAGAATTGATATTATTTGTACATGCATAATTTATATTAAAAGATTTGATTCTTATTAGAAACGAATTTGGTATTAAGAATGCATATATTAAAAATTTCTTAATGTAACAGCACTGGTATTATACTGACATATTCATGTACTTATACATGTAGATCCACCTCTGGTCAATAGATCTGCTATTTATGATTGACATTTCTATAGCAAGTATGTTTCAGTGGGGATCCTCATATTGCAATCTACATCAGTGGTTCCCCCGCAATAGGTTACAAGCTCAAGCCTTGGGTACAATAATTCGAAATGCTCCAGTTGGTCTCACTAATGGTTTCTGTGTATGCTGGTTTTCACTAATTGCTGGATTCGGTAGTGATCAACTAGACAAGTCTATGCTACCATTAATTCTCGGACATTTCCCAGCTGGTGCTTCTGCGAAACAAATTATTCATTATAGTCAAAATATACTATCAGGTAATTATTTAATAATTAATTTAATAATATTTAGTGCTTTCATTTACTTCGATTATATTAATTAATTACACCACCACATTATTATTGAATACTATTATTTTCTTTTAACAGGATCATTTCGCAAGTTTGATTATGGAGCAACAGAAAATCTGAAAACTTATGGGTCAACACAACCACCAATATATGATCTTGAAAAAGTAAAAACACCAATTGTAATATTTTATAGTAAAAATGATTTTCTCAATGATCCTGCAGATGTAAAGAGGCTTACTGATAGATTGCCAAATGTTATAGAGACAAAAGAGATTGAATATTCAAAATTCAATCATATTGATTATTTATGGGGTAGAGATGCCAGGGTGATTCTCTATAATACTGTTTTAACAGTTTTAAAAAAATTTAGATAAAATTAAGCTCTTAGTGAGCTTATTTTTTATTACCTTGTATATAATATTAACACTATTACATATTACATAAGGATATACAACAGATGTATTTCAAGAAAACAAATATTTTTTATTGTTATTTAATATTTTCTTTGGGTTTTAATTCTTTATACATATAATTTATTAAACCATGTTATATAAAACAGTATGTAAAATAATCTTTTTTTAAAATTTTTTTTTATTATATTTACAGATAAAATTGTAAGAATATAAAAAGAGATTGTTTTAATTCAATATAATCTCTATATAAATATATGTATTCTTATATTATTTTTTTCAAGTTTATTTTACAAATGCAAATGAATTGAGGAGAAATAAAATTTACAAACATCGCAAAGTAAGGACTTCCCTTATTACTTTAGCGTGAAGCATTTGTATATTATTAAATGTTATAAAAATATTTTTGTGAATAATCTAAGCACAATTTTTATTTAAATGAATTTTATAGAAATGTAACAAATTATATAAATTGTTCAACACTCTAGACAATCATACATCATATCAGTGTAATTATAATTGTAAATAAGTTTTAAAGAACTTTAACTTTACAAATCTAGTTAAAATAAATTCAATATGAAAAACGTGTAACAAATTCTAATGTACAATGATTTCTGTTTATATCTTGAATAAGTAAATAACAAGATAATGTTTAAAACTATATATTTGTATGTATAATATTAATAGCATAATTTTCTTGACAAAATTGCAGAATATTTTTTATTGCTATCAATCTCATGTAATATGTAATTATATTCTGTAGAAACTGTAAAAATTTCTTAATTTATTAATATCCACGTTCTTTTACAGATATTTCATCCATATAAAATTAATTCTACTAATTCTATTTGTGTTTAATATTTTTTATATATTAACAGAGAAAATATTAATTTTATATCGTTAGTTCTGTAAGAGGCCACATCATTTAATAATGGCGGTAATGTCGGGGCACAATCGAAGTTAACGTTGAATATCTTTATCTATATATTTCTTGGCGCAGAATATCACTAAGTAGATGCAGTATCTAGTTGTGTTGTCTTTCGAGGATAAATCCCGACGAATCAGCGGTCAGTTCAGTTACAGTTCGGTTAGTCTGCAGCGTCTTGTTCTGTCAAACTGGAGTTTCGAGACTGTCGTGAAACAGTGAAAGTTCGAAGCGAAAGCGAAACGACGGGAGTGGCCCTTCACTCAACGTAATTGAGAGGGATTCATTAGAAATGAATTGATTTCTTAGTCATTCTCTTACTGAATAGCAAAACTAATTTGTGTTCACAATCCTATATTCTATTGCAATTTACAGCTGGAAGCCATGGAGGACTATCTGCCAAATGAATATGATGTCGTCGTCGTAGGGACGGGTATTGATTTTTGCAATATACGTCTTATTTATTTTGCTGCTTCTTTTTTTTAATGTCTATAATGACTTATCAAATTTATAGGTATGACGGAGTCTATTGTCGCAGCAGCTGCAAGTAGAATCGGTAAAAAGGTCCTTCACCTAGACAGGTATGTCGGATTTCTCTCTTCTTCTCTTTCTCATTCGATCTTACTCTTTTTTGCTTCCTCGCCTCTTACTTCTTACTTCTTGCTTTTTGCTTCCTCCCTTTTTTCTTTTTTATATTTCTCTTCCTCATTCGCTTATATTTTCTTATGTTTTTTTTTTATATTTTACATGTTCTCTATTTCTTTTCATGTTCCATATTGTATTATTAACTAGGAAATATTTATGTATTTTTATATACTTATATAAGGTGCTCGATTTTAATTAAATAAATATATTTATTCAGCATTTAATTAGAAATTTCTTATACATATTAGAAATATTCGTTTCAAAGATTATATTTAAATAATTATTTTTACACTTATAACTTCATTACTTTTACATTTATCAAATCTAGATATAAAATAAAAATATGATAATTTATAAACAATTGTATCTTTTTATTAAACATTTAATTCCCTATTGAACAAAAATTTATGTAATAAAATAGAATTTTTTTTCACACAGTAGTAATTATGTTCAAATGAACAAGAAATACTTTCAATTAGCATTAAAAACTAATTTTACAAGCATTTAATGAATTAATATATGCAGTTTTTATAATAATAACTTTAACATTTTAACATTAAAAAATTTGTTAAGTAATATAATTAAACATCTGGATCTTTGGATTTTCAAGATTATACATATTCATGTATATATCTTCCTAAATTCTATAATACAATTTGTATAATAATGCATTATTATATATAATTGCATAATAATAATATAGTTATATAAGTTTATATTCTGTATAATGATTCCTTATTTGTGAAAATCCTTTATTGTTATATCTTTTAAATATATCTTTTGTACCTTAATATATAAAGAAGACATTCTAAATTATTTAACCAATTAAATAGTTGTCTTTTTCATCTATATATTTTAGATAGATATAAATAGTTATGTATTACATTGTAGTATATGTATTAATGCATCTTTTTTACTTAACTAAGTTATATAAAATCAAAAACTTTCTATTCTATTTAAAATCATAGTTACCAAAGAAGTGTTGTATTTTTATAGATGGAAAATAATGCAAATAGATATAATACTTCAGAGTACAACCTATTCATGCAAAATATTTTCTGAGTGTTATAAAAAGAATATTTTAGTTCATTACAGGATTTATTCTGAAAATATAAAATTCTAAATTTTAGTCTTTTAAGTAAATTTTTTTTTAAATATAGTACATTATTCTCTTTGTTCAACATCACCAAGAATAGTCTATACTTCTAATTTTTTTTATGAAATGTTTCGATTTTTGTTTTATAATTTCTTGACTAAAAACTTATATTTGTAAGTAATAAAAAGATTACTCAATTCTTTGAAATATTTTGTGTATTATATTTTTTTTGTTTTTTTGTTTTATATTTATATTTATAATATTTATATTTTAATACAAATATGGTTTAAATATATCTTTATTATTCCAACAAATCGAATATTTAAAAGTATAAATATTCGAATATTCAATTATTTCCAAATAAAATTTTGAATCTTCCTGTGATCTTTTTGTATTAACGATCATTTTTTGCTGCAGTACAATGTCTTTTTTTATGTTTCATTAAATAATATATTTTCAGATTTAACTCCTTTCAATATAATTTTTTAAAGTCTGAGAGTCTAAGACTTAGATCTTTTTACTTTTTATACATCCTGTATATACATATATAAGTACATATGCCTATAATCCAAAATTTCTGTGATAATTCAAAATTATGTTTGTCTAAAACAGTTTTCTAACGATATCACAACCAAAAAGAAAATAAAGAGATATATAAAATAGTTGAATGAATAAGATTTTCACGAAGAAGCCTTTGATCCTAAGAAAGATGACTTCAAAAATTTATTATGGTATATGTATCCAACTTCATTAAAATTTGGAATTAAAACTGGATTTGGATTAAAAGTAGGAATTTGATTTATGTAAGAAATTAAAGAATATATGTATATTTATTAATACAAAAATCTGTGAGTATGCATGTATGTATGCGTGTGTGTACCATGTGATTTAAAGTGCTCTTCATATATCGTACATACGAAATTCTACTCTAAGAACCACATTAATGTGTAATGTCTGCAGTGGATTTTATTCTTTTTCAACATTTTTTAACCATATTTAAGAAAATCTTTTCTTTTAGTTTTGAAGGTAATGTTCACAAATACGAGATCAAAAGGAATACTGTACAATAAAATACAAAACTAAATTGTAGTTAATGTATGCATATGTATTTAATAAATTTGATTTTCGTTTAATTTATTTTATATATTATTTATTTTTTTTATAAATAAAGAAATCGTCCCCCTTTCCTTCCTGCTTTCAATGGTGATGTATATATATATATATATATATATATATATATATATAGTTTTATAAAGGATGGCTCATTATTGAAGGGGATGATTCTTTATAAAAAATATATAAAATATACACGCACATATATCATTAATTATTAACCTTTTTACTATGAAACTAAGCACCTGTAAACAGGCTTATTTGTAATGTTTTAATGTAACAATTATTTCAAATTAAAAAAAAAATGTATATGATGAACATTGTAATATTTTCATATTAGTGACAACAAACATAACTAAATAATTGTCATTTACTTGTAGCGATGAATATTATGGTGGTCTATGGGCAACATTTAACTTTGATGGGCTACAGAAATGGATAGAAGACCTAAAAGTTCCCAAAAACACGACCAAGGATCTATCTGAAGCCGATTTGGAACCTGAAGAAAAATTTCTAAAAACTAGCAATGAATATTCAACTGTTGAAAATATTGAGGAAACATGGTATATTTCAAAGTAAGTTTCCTTTCATGAATGTACGCATATTTGTGTCCTGTTCTTCTTTTTAATTATATTTTTGTTACAGTGAAGCTGATCTGCCAGTAGTTTCTTCAAAAGATACTCAGACTGATAGTACTGGAGATGTTAGTGGAAGTGATGATGAAAAAGCTGATGATGATAAAGTTGAAAAAAAAGAGAATGTTAAACAGTGGAGTATAGATCGTATAAGAAAAGAATACAGAAAGTTTAATATTGACTTGGCGCCAAAGGTATGAAGATAAAGAATATTATCATCACATTAAATACAAGATAAATAACTATAAAGGCAGATTATATTTTTCGTTCTTTTGGTTTTTCTCATTTTTGTCTAAATAAATATATCTACGAACAAAGTCCTGTTCAATAGGTGGAAGAGTAAGCGTGACACCGTTTTTAAGTCTCATTATATTTATAGAACATTAAGTATAAAAAGCAGTTTTTTCTTAATATATTTATTTAAGAATTGTGTATAATATATAAATAATATATAAATATATTTAAGAATTATATTTTGTTTGTCAAATATAATATTATTTATTGAAAAATCTCAATTAACTATCATCTTATGGAATATATTTATTATTGTTTCTCATCTAATAGATTTCAGTTATCAAAAAATTAACTATTTTTCTACTATTCTATGTATCTATTTCTGCTAAAATTCAAAATGTTTATTAAGTATCAAAAATTGGTTAGGACATAGTTATATTTTTTATCTGTTATTCTTATTTTTAAATTCACTTGATTATCTATTATGATTTTAAAATAACTTTTAAAAAAAGAAAAGGTATATAATATTGATAAAATCTGAATTATGAAAATGTTATTTCATTCATTTAGGTAGTACCATATCAATATTTAAATATTTAATTCTATTTATCTAAATATTTCTTATTTACCCATTAATTATGGAATGAATATCTTTTTTAAAATAATTATTGTAGCAATATTGTAATTCCTTCTGTTTATATAAAATATATTATGTCAGAAATTACAATTAATTGATTGACATTTTATCTATCTAAAACAGTTATTATTTGCGCGAGGTGAACTAGTTGAGCTCTTAATCTCCAGTAACATTGCTCGTTATGCGGAATTTCGTGCAGTGTCCAGAGTAGCTACATTCATGGATGGGAAATTGACACAAGTACCTTGCTCAAGAGCTGACGTGTTTGCAAATAAAACTGTTAGTGTTGTTGAGAAAAGAATGTTAATGCAACTGCTCACTTCATGCATGGAGCAAGGCGCAGATAGTCCAGAATTTGATGGTAATTACTTGTACTTTTTTTTATTTCAATTTAATTTTGTAATATGATGTCTAAGCATAATATTTTGTTACTAAGAACACATCTTTAAAATATTCTGGGCAATATAAGATTTGTAGATCTTTTATTTAATAATTACTTGCTTCTCAAGACAATAATTAGGAGTTTATAATGTTTTTAATATATGCATATAATATATTAAAAATTAATTATCAAATACAATATAATGGTCTATGTAATGAAAGTAACTTTTTTTGATACATAATGAAGAAAAAATTTATTGAGTCAGTTTAGATTTCATTACTAATAATAAATAAATAAAAAGTGTATGAGCATTGTATTTTGCTATATTTTTTTACATTAGGAGAAATTGTTCATAAAATGGTATTGTTTATATGTAAATTATGTAATATACATAACATGCATACATGTATATGCAACAGAATTAATTCAATATTATAATTTATTAGTTTTATTTGCTATTGTTATTTTATTAAATAATATCTATTAACAGGATTCCGTGATAAAACCTTCTTAGAATATTTAAACACGAAAAATTTAACACCAATCGTGCAGCATTATGTTGTTCAAGCAATTGCTATGGCTACTGAAAAGACTTCTTGTAGAGATGGTGTGAATCGCACGAAACATTTTTTGAATAGTCTTGGACGATATGGAAATACACCCTTTCTTTGGCCTATGTATGGTAGTGGAGAGCTACCTCAGTGCTTTTGCAGGTACAATTTTATACATATATATACAATAATGTATATATAATGATCTGTTATTATACTATTTAATATGTAAATATCATAAATAATTTAAAAAATCATTACTATTATTTACAGATTATGTGCAGTATTTGGAGGAGTTTACTGTTTAAAAAGGCAGCTTGATGGTGTAGTAATAAACAAAAATAAATGCAAAGCTATCATTAGTGGCAAACAAAGAATAAGTTTGGAACATTTAGTTCTTGGTCAAGGTCATCTGCCACCGGAAGTTGTAGCTTTTGAAGGAGAGCAACGAATATCACGTGGAATTTTCATTACGGACAGGTAATAGTTAGGAAAAACAAGAAGAAACAATTATATTAGATTATAATTGTAATAAAAAGAAGTTGCGGTTCAAAATTATCTAAAAACAACTAACTATATGAAATTAGTATAATTGAGCTTGACAAGATATAAAGTACTAGATTTTTTAAATAATAAATTATATAATTTTATAAACAGTAACAAATTTATATTAGTAACAGAAAGCCCTACTTATATTAATTATAATATACACAAATTTCTGCTTCTAACCTTTTCTAATTTATTTTTCAATTTTTTAAAGTAGTATTTGCTGATAAAATTATCTTTTCAAATATTTATTTTAGGTCAATTATGCAAGGTGAGAAGGAAAATTTGACACTTTTATATTATCCTCCGGAACAACCTGATCAGGAACCTGTTACACTGATTGAATTGGGACCATCTACAAATGCTTGCCCTCAAGGATTGTGTATGTAGAACTATTACATTTATGAAAAATTTATATAATATGAAAATCCAAATTTTTTGGAAATTTTTTCATTTATTCCAAAATAGTTATGGTTCACATGACATGTAAGCGAACAACAAATGCAAAGGAAGACTTGGCCTATGTTGTCAATAAATTTTTAAGAGCTGAGCCGCTTGATCCATTAGCCATTCGTTCATCTATCCATAGCCATACACAGACTGTTTCTCCAGATAAAAGACATATTCAGGTATGTTTTTCCTGTACTAGCTATATATTTATGGTACAGATAAATATTTATATTTACTTATATTTACATAATAAGTATATTTTTCAATTTTTATGAACTATAGGAAAATTATATTATTTATCACATGATTATTTTATATTTTGTTAATTTAGTTTACAGATGTGTCCTGGTACCACTAAAACAAATTGATTATAAAAGAAATTGGAAGATATTTTAGCAATATATATTCTAGAGTTTCTTATTTCTTAGATATTACAAATTTTGAATTAATTTATTAAAGATAAATATAGTTCTGAAAATATATTTATCTTCCTCTTTTATAAAATATTTCGAAATTTTTATAACTATTATATTTATGTTGATTCAAAATAAAAACCAAATTTCTTGTATGCAGGAAGGTGATCAAGATAATAGAGAGGAGTCTACAGAGAGTCCAAAGCCTCAAGTTTTATGGTCATTGTACTTAAACCTACCTGCAAGTGATATTAAATTAGAAGAGTCCACGCCAAGTAACCTTCATCTGTGTTCAGGACCAGATTTAGAGCTTGATTTCGATTTTGCAGTTAATCAGGTTAATTTTCTCTCAAATTATAATCTCGTTTTAGCGTAATTGTGCTTTTAACTGATCCCAAATGATAAAAATGGTATACATTATCATAAATTTTTAAATTTTGTCAAGGCGAAGAGCATCTTTGAATCTATGTATCCTGACAAAGATTTCCTTCCACGTGCACCTGATCCAGAAGAAATCGTACTTGAAGGAGAAGAAGCGCCAGGACCGAAATTTGAGGGAGATACAGAGGCTGAAGAGAAACAAGATGTTGAGAAAGCCGAAAAAGAGGATTAAATGATCTTTTTTCGTCTTTTCATCTTGAAAACACGGGCCAGCTCCCTTAGCCGCACACCTCTTTCTATCCAAAGTTACACGCGTCTTCTTTCGTTTGAAAGTCGGAAAACTTTTATTCGAATGATTAACGAACATTTTGTTTGTAATTGAATTACCAGTTATGTCCGTAAATAGTGCTAGATATTATTTTAATCTAAATGTTTATTTAAATTAAAAACGAAATTATACTATTTATTTCGACTGTATAAAACATTGTTTTTGCCTAGCACTCTTTGTAGACGAAACTGTTTGGAAAAAAACTTTGGTTTCTTTGAAGAATTTTCATTGCTAATCAACTTAAAAGTTGTTCGTAAATTTTCGAATAAAATTCCAATCGACTGGCGCTCAAGTCTGCGTTACACTCGCTCTTTTATTAAATTACGGATCAATCGGCCGAAAGCATTAGTTTTTCTTTCTTTCCTTTCTGGTCAAACAAATTTACTTTCAATGTTAAGTTTCGAGGAAGTGAAATGTAGTTTTATGATAATATATAAGAGAGATGTGGAAGAACTAAAACGAAGGATAGATAGTATTTATAAACTAATTCTTCATTAAGTTACGTTAGATTTAAAATTAATCATAAATAAAAAATATATACGATAATTCAATAATTTATAAATGTGATCGATTTCTAATTTAATCGGAAATTATTAAGACAATTTAGCATCGATTATATTTATAAATTGCTGACTTATAAGGATACAATGAGAAAATAAAGTTCTAAAATAATAAAATTCTCATTAATCTTATTTTCTCTAATCACTACGAATGTAAAAAAGCACATCATTCCACGTTTCTCTACTATATCAATATAAAAGATATCATAATGTCTTTTATCGGATTATTAATACGTATTATACATCATTAGTGTATTTATTACGCATTATATTGCATAGCATAGTTTACTCATTATATATTGTTAGTGTAAGAACAAATTTAGACTGCGAAAAATCAATCGTTCCTCGACTATTTATTTATTTTTCGAATTATTTAACTATTCTATGTTATATTTCATTATTCGTTGTATTAATTAACATCACATAATTTTTATTAGATTCCATTATTTTTTCATTACTCTGTTTTTTAACTTTAGTAATAATGTTTTACTTGAACAATATTACATCACTTTTATATTATTATTAGTAATTTTATATATATATATTTTTTTTTTGGTTTTTCTAATCGTTACTATTTGTTTATTAAAGTTTGATTTACTTGTTTCCATTTAATTCGTTGAGTTGAACTTCAATTAAGTAATTCTGTCAAATATTAGTTTGGATAACTAACATTATTCGGTTTATTTAAATTTTTATTTTATATTTTCTAAAACAGGTATATTTGTTTTAGATAATTATATTTTTAATATTTATGTAAGTTAACGAAAGCAAAGAGAAGAAATGCTATCGGCTGGTTCCGCTCGTATACTATGAAAATTTTTAGACACATTGATCGTAGAGCGGCTTGGATGTCAGAATTGATAATCTTTTTCTCGCCGTTACTGCTTCGATGTGCGCGCATTTATTTGCATTTAACTGATAATACGCCGTACTCAGCATTGAAATACAGTAAACTGATACGAACTGAAATATAGTTTGTTTTATCAAACTTATCTCCTGAAAAAATAACAGTGATTCGAATTTTGAAAGGAATTTCACTTCCTATTCTCATCACATCATAAATTCGTAATTCTGCAAAATACTTATTTAAATTGACTTAATAACATTTGAAGGAATATAATTTTAACATAATTCCAAATTAATTCATTCTTTCAAATAAAAATGATATAAAAGCATACAATTTTTAGAAAATTTTATAACAAAACATTTTACATTGTTTTGTACTTGAGAACTTTAAACATACAGATTAATAGATACTTTTTAAAGGAATAAATCCTTTCAGAATTCAGTTTTTTACCTTTTCTGTGATCAATTTTTAAATAGGGAGATAAATTTTATACTTATTTGTTATTATTTCTTATTATATTAATATTCTGCTTTTTCAACACTATTTTTTTTATTATATGATATGATACATGATTGTTATTTTATATATTGCTTATGATTTATATATATATCATGATAAAATTTCACATGCACATATTGTTGCACTATAAAAACGAGTCAAAATAAATATTATTTTAATAAATAAATATTACAATGAAATTTTATGTAACTAAAATTATTTTTCGTTATTTTATGTTTCTTTAATTGTCTTATTAAAACAAGCATACTTACACCTAATATTTCATATTCAGTATTAACAAAAAAAGCTAATTTTGAAAACATTAAACATATTAATTATAATTCAATGTAGAATACGTTATTTATTCAATAATGAAAGTAACTACAACTAGAATTATATTAATATGTACTTCATATCCTACACATAATACTCCATAAAAGAATATACATATACATATATTAATCATATTGACCACAATTTTAAGATTTACAAGAGACATTTTTTAAAAAGTTGTCTATTTTAAAAAAATTTATGCATAAAGTAGTTCATTTTTACATATTAATATTTGTGTTAAAAGATGAAAATAGACTTTGGGATTCCAAACTTTGTTATTTCATTGTACATAATATAGCGTAGTTTATCTTTGTTAGAATCTTAAGTTATTTGTAGGCTAATTTGCACATGTAGATTATAGAAAAAAAATACAAAATACTGATATTTCAAAGTATTTCAAGTTCCGTCCCGAACGGCCACTGATGGTACCCAGAATAATATCCACAACTAGTGATATTTTTGCATGGGCGGTGATGGTCTTTCCCCATAATTATTATTTATTTACAGTAATAACAATATTTTACAATGTACAGCATAATGAGACGAATATCTTTCAGCACTGATGATCTTGTCTTTTTCGTGAAGTGCACGTAGTAAATACATAGAATTTTACATTCCATAGTGTGGCTGTCAAATTCTTACAAGATTTCATTTTGGAATTTGACATTGGAATTATTAAAGATCATTACATATTTTTTATTGACATCATATGTATACTTTTAACTATCTAAATACTTATTTATAAATCATCCTTTAAAACAAGATATTAATTATAATAACAAATATTAAATAAAACAAAATAGACTAATTAATACAGATTATAATATTTGATGAATTTAAGGCCAATTTTTTTCTGTATTAAACATTTATCTACAAATTTAAACATTTATTTACAAATCAATTTAAATAAATCTAAATTTTAAAGTTAATCTCTATAAATATTATTATGTATATTGTAAAATACATAAAATACTATTTGTATTCTGTTATTAAAATTATTATATACATACATAATAAATTTTGATTACAATCAAATGCATATATTTTAAATAATGTTCTTTTCATATGCAGGTTTACCAAAAAGAATTCTATCAAAGTCAAGATTCGATAGGTCAAGCGTTTTATATTCTCCATCAACAATTAGTTCTGAAATTGCTCTACCTACTGCGGGTGCCTGTTGAATTCCATGTCCACTAAATCCAGTTGCAAAGTATAAATTCCGATAATATGGATGTAGTCCAATTATTCCATTTTGATCGAAAGTATTGAACTCATAATATCCTGCCCAAGAAGACTTTAACTGCAAAAATAGTATAAAAAATTGCATTTCGAAAGCTATTAAAGTAAATAATTTAATTTAAGTAATTTGAGTAATAATACAAATGTTATCAATTTATTCGTATGTATAACTTTAATATATTAGGTTGTCCGAAAAGTTTCTTTCGTTTATGAGGAAGTCATAGACGCACAGTGTTTTTTGTTTTATATTATTTTGTCGAATTACGTATGATCCATTTTGTTATGTTGAGATAAACACCGCGACATTTCACAGACTTGGTTTCATGTTTATATGCACTGTTATAAATAATACGTTTGCGAAAGAAAGACACTTTTCGGACAACCTAATACATATCAGTGTATTTATATCATATTTCTATTATGTGTAAATCAAACACAAACCTTTAATTTTTCAAAAACTGGGACTCTGTGTGCGAGTACAGGCCAAATTTTTTCTTCAAAGAAATCATAATCAATACTTAAATCTTCAGTACTAGGTTCTTCGGATTCCTCTGGTGATCTTCCACAAATATACGTACCTGCCAGACCTTCTCTTCTAAAATAAATATTGATACTTAATTAGTAGTAAACACAAGTTTCAAAATATTAGTTTCTAGAAACAACTTTTATTTTATGAATAATGTTTACCTAAGAAATGTTCCAGTATTATCTATCAATAATGGGGCATTTAAACTTGGTCCATCAGGACAATGAACGCAATAAACAAATCTTTTCCTATAACACCAACAATATTTGTGTTGGATTTATATTAATAAATAATAATAGTATTAATATAAACTTTCATTTCATACTTATTCAAACTTATTCACAACATGAAATTATGATTACCTTGGTTCAACAGGTAAATATATTTTCTCTAATCCGTTTTCTGTTTGAACATTACCCAATTTGTCAACTATTTGTCCACTAAAAGCTCCAGCAGCCACAATGCAAAGTGCAAATTTCATATTATGTATTTCACCCTCTTTGGTTTTTACCTAATAAAAAGTAAAAAGAGATTAACTGTTAAATACTGTTAATAGAATATTATACAGTATTAACTGTTAATAGAATAAAAATAAAATAAATATAAAAGTATGCTAATATATATATATATATAGATATAAACTTTTGCACAGTTTTGCATACTTTACATACTTCTTTTTTCTTGTGTATTACAGAATATTTCTATATGCTTGTCTCTACATGTACATGCTTATGTCTACATGATTAGTGAATCATATATATCCATGAAAATGTATATGATTTATTTAAATATTATTATGAAAAATAATAAATATATTAACTTCAAATATTATTTAGTTTATAAATTACATATTAATATTATTACTATTATTTATAATATAAATTGCCCAGATATATATACAACAGTATATAAATATTAAAAAATGTATAAATTAATAAGAAACTAATAATCAAAAAATTAAAAAAAATCCACTAATGATATATCGAAATTTGAAATATATTTTATTGATGTTTTTACTGGCTTCAAATAATTATTACTTGTTTTAATCACACAATTTTCCTCATGGATAGTTTAGCAGTAAAACAATAGATGTAAATTTTTAGTTTAGATATAAATTTTTATCTTATTACTCACTCAGTGAAATTATGTCACTCCATATGTATTAGTTATTTAAAACCAGTTTTAATGTACTACTATAATGAAATAATAATATTGAATGTAGTCATTATTTATTAATATACAATTATTTCTTGAGGAACTGTAATAAAATTGCATCAAAAATAAACAAACATCTGGATACTTTTTAGCAGTAATGTAAATATAATACTGAATATCAAAAATTAGAGTGATAATTAATATATTACTTTAACAAAATTAAGTCTTACAATCAATCCATCTAGTTGACCAATGTTTCCTTTGTCTTTATAAGTAAATCCTTGCGCTTCACCATAAATATATCTTGCTCCCAATTGTAGTGCTTTCTTTTTAAAAGCAGAAAGAAGAACCCACGGGTCAAACCAACCCTCTTTTTCTAATCCTAAACAACCTAGTTCGATACCTTCTGTATTTATCCAAGGAAACATACTTTTCAATTTAGCAGCTGATAATATAATATTTTTTGCTCCAAGGAAATTTTGTAATTTAGAATTTTCTATTAATATTTGAGCACTTTGCTCAGATGCTAATGTTAAATAACCATATGGATGGAAATATGGATCAATTGCGGGTTCTCCTATAATGCCTAAATATTCATTGATGTTACGTAAAAATTCTGCACCAAAAAGAGACATTTCAATATTTTCTTTCAGAGAAAATTGTTGACGTAAACCTCCACAAGAAAGAACTGTTGATGCTGTAGTATACTGAAAATAAAATTTACGTTTACTTATTAAATAATTTCTTTATTTGATTAGATCTTTTTTTGGTAAATTCAACTGAATAAATTTCAATCTTTCAGAACGAGCCCTCTAATTTTTATGAAACTGGATATTATATTCATGTTATTATATTCAGTTAAACTGTAGAACATAATTTCTAAATTATTTTTATACTGCAATTGCAAAACATAATTTCTGAAGAACGTACCGTAGGATCTCTCTCTATTACTATAACTTTGAAATGATCTGAATAAACTCGGTTTCTCAACCAATATGCTATGGAACTGCCCATTATCCCACCTCCAATTATTACAATATCACAAACTTTTGGAACTATTTGTGGTCGACCCATCCATTCAGCTAATATATCGTCAACATCCTTCGCAACAAGAGATTCTTTTATCGATGCCAAACCTTTTTTAAGTGTTTTTGATACTATAGTTTTAGAATCTTTTTTAGTTGGTACAATTTTATCTGGAGTATCCTGAGAAATAACATGGATTAATATAAATGTGAAAAAATGTTATATTATGTTTCTCTTATCATCTTTTATTAAATTGGCATTACAATTAGATATACAAAATTGATGAATGTCATACAGCTTAAAATTACATGTACACATATTGAAAAAATTCTATTATATAATACTATATTTACAATTTATATATTTTGGAAAGAATTAAAAGGTTGTTTTATTTGGTTAAAAAAGCAATTCCTTGTTTAACATTAACAAATTTATTTTCTCATTCGATACAAGGACCTTGCTATATTTATTAAAAAAATTAATAATGATGGGAGTTACATGATTATTATTCTGAACTACTTATATGCAGAGCAACTTATTTAAATTAAAAATCTGAATTATTATCATTTCTATGGAATCTTCTTGAAGATTATTCCAAGGTCATTGACATTATCTTTGCATATTTATCTTTATAATGTAATGTTAAAGTTCGCATCAAATCAAGTTGCATCAATTATGAAACGATAATTTTGAAGAATGAACTGAGTTTAGATTAGCAATGTAAAAGTAATAAAATAAGGGAAGTTTTAATACAAATGAGTTTATTTCATATTCAAATTGTACTGTTTCATGTTCAAATTCTAACAACTAGTAATACTATTAGTAGTAATAATACTAAATTGATTAGTTTCTAAATTTCAATAAATTAGTAGTAATAATATTAAACAAATAGTAACAATCTAACAATTAGTAATTAAGTGGGGTACGAGTTTCCAGAAGGGTAAAACAAATGCAGACAAATTTACATTTATTTTAGAATATGTACTGCAGAAGTTTGCAATGTAGTATGAGTACTGAAGAAGATGTTCATGAACATGAATTTATAACTTCTAGTTTATTCGTATAAATATTTTAATGATACTGATAATAAAATAATGTTACAGCTACTGACATTAGAATAATGTTCTTTTATTCTGAAACATTGTCACTTTAACGATTAAAAATTAATAAATATACATTAGTAAAACAAATATTTTTTCTTATTTAATCTAATGTTTTGTTCTTTTATTATATTCATATCGCAATTTTATTAACAATATCGATACCTTTTTTAGAAATGTAGTAAGTTTTATAAATTTCGTGCAGATGAAAAATGTGTGTATAATAAAGCTTGTTAACCAATAGCTGATTTTGTAAATTATTAAATGTTCTCAAACAGTTAAGTGAATGTGGATTGTAATAAATAACATACAATGGAAGAAAATAAATATAAATCGCACAAAATCAAAACAAATAACTTAAATTATTAACCTCAATATTATTGTTTACCATGTTACCTTTTTTGAATAAGTTCTTTTTGTTTGTGAGAACACACATCTTTGTAAAAAATTATTTTGTACTTGCAATTTAACAAAAGAAGACAACATTTTTATAACTGCTAAGAGCTTACACATACGATTTAATTCAAACTAAAATTTTCCTGCTACTGTTTCGTTAGCCGGTAATCTCATAACTATATAAAATTTCTTACAAACGATAACATTTCAATAAACACTGAAAAATTAGATAATTCTTTTTTATGAAATACCGTCATTTCACCAAAACCAAATTAAGATAAAACACGCATCTTTGTTAATAAATCTCATTCTGTCGCAAATTATATTCAATAAATTGTTGTAATTTTCTCTGTATATAAATTGATTTAATATTTAAAATCTATTATTATTTCATTTAGAATATATTATAAATAATATATTGCAAATTTGATATATTAAATACACTGACAAATTAATAGAATTAGATTATGATACACCATAATTATAATAGTAAAATTATTTATATAATGAATACATGTATGAATTTGTAAAACAAGAGATAAAGTTGTCATATCTATTTCTTATATTTACAATTATCGTATGAATGATAAATGTATTGCATAAAAATAAATGATATCACGTATAATATATTATACGTGCATTATATGTATACATATATATCTATAGATACCATTTATTTTTTAATTATTTTGATACATTATATGCATTCAAAGATTACATTTACACATACATATTTGATAATTTACTAAGAAACTTTTGTTAAGATACGGGTGTAAATGGAAAATTTTAAGACGACAATGGTTCTATTAAAATAACTATATTTATATATAACAACAGCTTAAAATATAACGACAGCATTTGTGTATATAGTATTTCTTTCAGTATGTTATATAAAGATAAAACACACTCCTGAATACAAAAATCATTTTTATTTAAACTACTTTCTTAGTTTAATATTCCTCAGTTGTTGTGTGTTGCATTCTTTTATGATAGAAGAAACCAATTTTATAATTTAGAATAAATAACCATAATTCTTTCAAGACAAATAATTATTCTTAGAAATAGTCAACCTTTATTATTTTGTCCATCAATCATGTTACATGGAATGAGAACCAACTTAGGAATCATTCCAGGTGGTGCTATAAATTGTTGAGTACTTTGGGGTGTGTTACGTCCAGAGTACTTAAGTTCTGCTTCTGTTACAATTTTACAAATATTCATTTTAATATCTGCTTGAGCTTTTGGAGGGAGTCGCTTGACAGTTTGTGCCATACTGTCAAAAAAGAGCTCTATACTACTTTTTCCTTCAGGAGCTAGGTAGACTTGGTCATAATTATTTTGTGTATCCTGAAACATATATTGAATTAAAGAATAATAAATTGCAATTAGGAAATACATACTAGTTTCGAAAATTGCAACTTACTTCTATTTTAGAAGAATTCTTTACAGAATTATTTGCGGCTGGTGCACTAACAAATATTGGTGTATCAATTGTTTTATTTTTAAAAGATGAAGTTTTTAAGATACTGTAGGTTGCAGGCACTTCCAATGATTCAATTTTCACTTTTTTCGGTCTTATTTTTCTATATTTTGATTGAATTTGCTGTGCATATGAATCAACATCATGATGCATTGCATTTCCTACTTCTACACTTTTTACTACGTTATCACCATTATCATTTAATTCCATAGAATCACGATCCAACACTGGATCTGCAGTCGTTTCTTCCAAAACTTCTAAATATTCACTATAATCTTCATCATTACGATCTTCTAATTGTTCTAAAAGACCTTCAGAACTAATTCCACCTGCATTTATATCCTGAATATAGTCTTCAGTTAATTCTATACTTTGAGGTTGATAATCCGATTCATACCTAAATAAACACTTTTGTTGATATTTAATCATTCTGCTTGAGTATTAAATAAAGTTAAACAGTATAAAATTAATAAAAAATAGATAAAAAAATTAATAAAAAATTAATAAAAATAGAATATATATCACGTAAGCTTAGTAAAATTATTATTATATAGAAAATCATTAAGAATTTACATATTATTCTTACGGAAACTTTAAGAAACTAAGATGATCTTCAAAAATCCATTTTTTCCTACGAACTCCTTTTTCCGTTCTATTCTTATATTTAAGTATACGGCAGTAAGTATCCCTTAAATTTTTCCATCTTAATCTCACCCAAGTGGCTAAAAACATATTAATTATATCTATATACATATCACTTTATAACAGTAAATTTAAAAATTCTAATTTATAAATGTAAATATAAACGTAGGCTCAAAAAACTTTAATTACAAGAAACAAAAAATATTACAGATGTATAAATTCATATTTTTTCATAGATATCAAAATAAATATTGTATAAAATAATATAAAACGTTTTAACGCAATGAATAACCACATATTCCATTAAATGTTATATTATCTTTTAAATACTGCAGTAATATTCATTTAGACATAAATTTGAAATTAATACTGGTTATTATACATACTTCTACCAATGTTTTTGTAAATAAATATTATTTAAATTTCGTTTTATTACTTAAACTTTCACAGTATTTACACAATAAGATTAATAAAACGAAATTAATGTGTATACAATTTTCCAAACTATGTTGAAAAATTAAAGAAAACATTTTGGCAGTAGAAATATTGTATAGCGATGATATATTAACGAACATACAAAATTATCCGAAAACAGTGAAAGAAGAAAAGGAGTTCGTACGATCAAGACCAAGTTCATCCGAAATCCTCTTCCAAACCTTCTGCCGAAATTCCTGAAGTTTAATAGAACCTTTCACTTCAGCACTATATAAAACTGGATGTTGTTTTATCGCTTCAATGATCTTCAGCGAAATTTTATGCGAATCAGGCGGCATCGTCGGCACCATTTCGTCCGTTGAAAATCGTTCGAAGAAGTAAACAATGTCAATATTGGAAACTCGATCCTACGTTCTTAATTTGATGACTAAATCAAATCTTTATATTGGATGAAAATTTCAAGCTTTATTCGTAATATAAATACTGGAAATTTATTTAATAGTTAAATAAGATTAAATTAATGGTTACATTTATTTTTACTGTTAATTCGTGAATTAAGTAAACAAGGTACATGAAAGAAAATAAATTATATAAAATTGTGCTTTAATATTACGATCAAATTTTTTAGTGAAACTGAAATGATTTACTTATTTGAGAAAATTGAAGGTTGGATTCTTTGGTTAATTCGAATTTTAAAGATTTTTGCTACAAATATTGCTGCTTAAAGCAAATTATAAGTCTTGAGTTCATCGCACAACTATGCGATTGAAAGTTTCTTTAATTGTTGAAAAGGCTAAGGTCCTTGTCGCGTCTTAAAAATTAGTCGTTAAGTATGCTGAAAAATAAAGAATCCGTAACGTAAATAAAACGACAATCGCCATTCTTTGTGATTAACTAGACTTCCGTCGCGCTGTTTAACCGGAAGCATCCTAATTGTAATATTTTTCTATTTTAGATTACATATATTATTTGAATTTTACTATAATCATTTTAGCTTTCTTACGCTATAAAATAACATTTCTTTTCGATATGCTTACTATACTTTAATACATAAAAAATTCATATGCTGATAATAATATCTAATATTTAATAAATTTGAAATAAATATATGCTAATGTAAATCACAATATAATAGTGAAACAAAATGCGAAAAACAATAAATGAAAAATAAAAGAAGAATTATATTAACATTGCTTGTACTTTTCTTATGATTCAACAAATTTTATATTTTTTTCTACACATAGCCCTTTTATAAAGATTATTATTACTATAATTTTGTAATATAATAATAATCATTAAAAATAATTAGTAACAGGGCAATTTGTGATCATTACGATTTTTATAATCCCATAATACTATCTGTAGTTCAGTTGCATCATATAGTTCATGACTAAGGAACAGGTACTCCTCGAATTGGTTAAGTAATTTTAAAATAAACAGAACAATACCAATATCTAAGTGAATTAATATCGAGTCTAAATAGGAATGGCCCAACTACCATCACCTTTCATTAGTCATACTAGAAAAGTATGTAGTCTTTATAAACGCGCTTTACGTGCGTTAGAAGATCAGAATATTAAAAGACACGAATTTAGGTAAAAATATGTTTAAATTAAATCTAGTAGTATAAAAAGCCATTATTTTTTATATCAAATATTATTTATTAACAATTAGTGTCAAAATATTAATGAAGAAACGTAAATTTTGATCGTACTGCTATCATAGTTTTTCAGGATATCATACATTGTGTACATAGTTTCACTTGTCTTGTTATATAATTTTGTTATGAATTTTATTACTATTATTATTTATATAAAATTGATAATAATATGAAATAAGCTGTTACTTCTAATAGACCTACTTTTGAAGATTCAATAAATTTATGTCTTGAACTATTTTTAACATTTTATAATTATCTACTTTTATTATATACAGATGTAACTGTTCATTTTAAGTTTTAATACTTGAGTTTTGAATAAATATTCATTATTATATATTCTTTTGATTTAGATATAACGCAATTTTATTAAGACAACGTTTTGATAAGAATCGGAATATACCAGATGCTCGCATAGCTAAAAAGCTACTATTAGAAGGTGAAGAAGAATTATTTCAGAATATGCATCCTGATCCATCAAAATTTCCTAATAGCCCAGGTGGTATATGCCATGGACGTTTTGTAATACCACCAGATTCTGTAATGGATTTTTGGGATCCAATTGAAAAAGCTAGATATCCAAAATATTTTGCAGAAAGAGAGAAACTTAAGGTGGAATATGAAAAATTATATAAGAAATTATATGTCGATACTTCTGTAGAAACTGAAAAAGCAAAAACAAATAAGTAGTTCAAGTAAAACACATTGCTTATGTAGTTATAATAATTAGAATAAAGTATATTGATATTTATATAAGTGTAATACTTAATTATTACATATATTGAAAATAAGATAATCCCTCTTGGTGTAGGACCATTCATGTAGTCTGTCTTTGCAGCGCAATTTTGCGTTCTTTGTTTACGGACGAGTCTATAGCACAAAGAACGAAATATTGCGCGAGAAAAACAGATGATATTGCCATCTACCATTACCATAATTTGTTTAACAAAATCTATTTATTAATGGAATTTAAAAAATTATGCAGTAATCTTTACAATTGAAATTAATTCTATAGCGACTAAGACACTTAAGTATCTGTATTATGTACAACACATGTGTGCGTGTGTATTAACAAATTTAACATAATGCTGACATGAATAACATACCATTCATACTTATTTTGGCAATATAATTATCCTACATGTGTTTGTTTAGAACTAGCGTAAATAATAAAATCGCAATTTATGCAATATTTAAGGAATTAATAATACATAGCATTTGTTATAATGTAGATGATATTCTAGATCTTAAATATAATTACATAGCAAGTAATATATTGAATTATATAATGAATAATCATTAGAACTAGCTACAATTAATTTTATCGACATGGTGAATTAAAATTAATCTTATTTGACGTTAAAATCTCCTTCACTTGTCTAAATTATTGCAAAATGGTTTTGAATATGATCGGGCGGAAACAGTTGGAAAAGCGTGGAGATGCGTGAAAACGGGCGCAAAAATTTTAGATCGAAACAAGAAGTATCTTTGACGTAAGACACAAAATTGCATATTATGTCAGGTAAATAGTCAATGTATAATGTATTTAATCAAATAGTTAATATATGTATTTAGTCAATGGCCATATCATAGACGAGTATGTAAGATAGACTTTGCATCCTTATATATTATTTTCATTGTAGTATAATAAGTAGTTTAATAATTTCCTCATAGAGAGCGCAGCTGTGTTTAAATATAGATTTGCCGATCTAGTGTATATGTACTTCATTTTGTAATTTGTAATGAAATACGATGTATATATACATACTTTTAGTTGCTATGTGAATGTTTATTAAAATGTTGTAAATTACACGATATATATATATATATATATATATATATATATGCCATTATATATTATCGATTCCAATAAATGTTAATTCTCATTTATCATTTTTATTTTGTTTCTTAAAAAATGGTTGATTTGGAGGTGTATAAAAAACAGTTGAAAAAGATTCGTCAATTTGCACGCGAAAATGATATTACGGAAAATGAAATCAATAAAGCTTTACAAAATTCCTTTCGTACTCTTGAGAAGAAAAAGAAGAAAGTTAATTTTCGTTTCTTTATGAAAAGTATGGTTACATTATTATTTATAATAATTATATGTTTTATATCCTTTGATAAAAAGTTCTTAGGTGTGATGCTACTGAGGAATTTACAGAATTCCATCTATCCAGGCTTAAAATTACTTAGAAAAATAGCTGTACCAATAATTCAACATTATCCCTCTTTATCTGGTATGTTGATATTACAATTTATGTTAAACATACTATATTTTATTAACAATTTCATTAGCGGCGGCTTGAAAATATTTATTTAAAATTTTTATTAAATTTTTTATATTTTATTATCATTAGATCATTCATTATCGTTATAGAATTTAATAAAAAGCTCTTTATAAAAATATGGAAGTATATATATACAAAACATGTAAATTACAAAAAAAATGATATACAATAAATATATATTGGAGTATAAGACATCAGTAGTTATTTCTTAAATCTCACTTTATATAACATTAACAATAATTGATTTTAATAATAGTTTTTCATTAAAATTTCATATTGTTTTTACTTGATTCATTCAATTATGTATATGTTTTTATACTTTTGCCTTTTAGAATTATATGATGAATGGTGCATATTAGAAAATCCGTATTTTTATGTAAATGATATGGATTGTTGGCCCTGTAGTGTTGTACATTTTGTACCTGATTTAAGTAGCCATCATATATCTAGATCTTTTAATCTTGGCATTCCTTATACAAAAACAGAAAATTTATCTCAAGTTTATATGGAAGATATACAACAATTATTGTGGCAAAATCCAGGAGTATTTAAGAAAGATGCTATGAGAGTATTTTCTAACAATAAAACTTACAGGTATCATATATAAACAAAAATACTAAGGTGCCTTAAACAAAAGTTTGTAAATAAAAGCTTTAACATTTTAGAGATATTCAAGATATTATGGAAAAAAATATGGATTTAAATCGTTCCAAAAATTTAAATAATCATATTACATGGAGAATTAATAGCATGACAACAGGAAGAATTTTGAGAAAGTTATTTCCAAAACCTGTTGATACACCAAATTGGTGGGAACAAAGCACAGAAAGATTTATTATTTTTGATGAACCAAACTCTCCACCTTACTCTTTAGTAAGATGTTATTTTATTAAAAGCTTTTGGTTTGCATGAAATATTGCTTCATAAAGAACATCAATATAATAATAAAATTAATTATTGTGTAAATAGTAATATTCAAAATGTTTGTTGCAAGAAGCATTACAAAATAGCTGTAGTATTTCAATATATGTCTGCTGTATTATTTTAATTGACAATAGATGTTAAAAATAATGTTATGTTGGAATTAAGCATATTGCTTGAAGAATAACTTCTTTAATAAATACTATTTCTAAAACTTTAGCCAAATCCTGAATGTAGTAATATAATGATAAGGTGTACAGCTGGTGCAAGATTGATAAAAATGATAGCAAGTCCAGAATGTAGTGCATCTTGCGAGTCCATCATAGTATTATTATCTGCTGGAAAAGCTTGTAAGTATCTTAATTTATAGTCAGTTAAAGAAGTTGATGAACATACGTTTTATTATTTAAACTATCTACTTTATTCTTGACAGTGTCTAACATTAACAGAAATGAGTGTCCATTAATTTAAATTAATGTTTTGAATATTACATATATCATAATTGATACATTAAATAAGATACTTTCAAAAATTATGTTTCTCTTTTAGTATGGTACAACTGGTGGTACTGGCGACCAGTCAGCCTTCCAGCTTTGAATTCAACTAGTATTACCATTAGTTATATGACTTCGTTCTGCTGAATTACTCTTTCAATTAAATTAATTTTATATAACTATGTTTCCACTACAAAAATTTTTCACTAGTATAATTGGTTTTATTGTTATCCCTTTCCCTTTAAACAATTTTCTAAATAACTGCTTTTGTGAAAAACATACAACTGATTTTACATAAAACAATACATTAATATTTACGAAATAACAATCTAAATTTGTGCTCATTTTGTAAAGTTGTAATTTATTAATAAATGCATGATATTACAGTATAAAAAATAGAAAAAATATCAACATATGGAATTGATACAAATTAAGTTACAATTAGAAAAAAAAAAGAAAAAGAAATCTAATTGTATTTAGGACTTTATATAACAGTGTAATAATATTAAAAAAAAATGTTGTTTATTGGAACTGAATTTTTTAAAAACAACTTAGTTTGCTTTAAGTTTTAAATATTAAAATAAAGCACATATTTCTTTAAATAAATAAATCTGTTCAAAATTTCTTTCCTAAAGTTTAATCATATTTTTGTTGTAGTTTTTGTTTAAATAAAACAGGTACTAATGATAATACAGCAAATATACATAATATTATAATGCTATTCCACGACCATGCGTCAGAAGATGAAGTTAAGTTTTGTAATGTCTGACCTGCTTGAATAGCAACAAAAGATGGTGGAGCAACTCCAAAAAATGTGCCTAAAGCAAATGGTACAAGAGGCACTCCAATTACAGGACTGGCTAAATTTATAAACCAATTTGGTAGTAATGGAGTTATTCGAAGAAATAGCATATAATTAAAGAGGTGGTCTTTGTGCTTCTTTACTGTTAACGTCCACTCCCTTGCTTTTTCTGGGAAATATTTAAAAAGTAATCTACGTCCCAAAAGTGAAGAAAGAAAGTAGCAAAGTGATGCTCCTATTGCGCTGCAACTGCATACTAATAACAAAGCTAAAGGAAAGGGGAAAAGGAAACCAGAAAGGATTGAAAGGAAAATAGAACCTGGAATAGCAAAAGTTTGTAAGCTAAATCTATGTTAAGGGTTATCCTATAAAATATACTTTTAAACACTTATATGTTAACATTTAAAAATAATTGAATATAACATTATATATGAAAGGTAGAATGTTACTTAGATAAATATGAAATAGCATATTTTTAAAGTTTATGAATTATTCTGAAATTAAAAGATTTAATATTGAAGGATACAAAACATATGTAATAAATAATCCAGCAAGCACTTGAAAATAATAAAGATCTTTATATCGTCCGAGAAGTTTACCCAAACTTTTAGCTTCTTCAATATGTAATGGCAATTTCATGTACTGTCGCTCATCTCTGTAATATAATAAATTAAAATATTTCTTTATATAAAAGTTTATTATAATTTTTTCTTACTCAGTAAGTTCTGGAAAACTAGTATAAGCATAAAATAATGCCGATAACGAAGCAATGAAAATCACACCAACTGTTAAGGTTGCTTGCTTTGTCGATGCCTCCTTAGAGGAATCTGAAAATGTATTTAAACTTTTATTAACACATTTTAAATCAAAATATTTTGATCTCATTAATTTAAACATTTAAACGTTAAGAAAACTAGTAGTATTAATTTGAAAATTATATTGAATTTAAAGCGTTAAGGTCACTTAAGGTCATATTTATATTAACAAAGACATTTATGAGTAAAATTGAATATAAAAGTGTCATGTACTAATAATTTAAAAATAATAAATAATAACTTCCATTTGTTTCATGAATGTATGAAGTTCAATTTTAAGGTTAGAATTTTCTTAATTTTATTTTCACATTATTAAATATGGAATACTATATCAATAAAATATTAGGAAGAATTAGAAATATAAATAGCTCGAAATTTTGATACTTATGTTAGAAAATTATTAACTAGATAAAATCTTATTGACATTCAATGTTTGAACTTCGGAATTGTTTTTAATAAATGTAACAAGTTAAAAGTTATTTCAAGGAAAATCAATATCCAGTTTAATGTTAAAACATCATATCTTAAAGCGTTATCCTACCGAGGCTTTGTTTTATTTTAGTTTCAGTTTTCATAACTAGACTATCACTGTTTTCTTAGAAGACAATCGCTCAGTAATTCAAGATGGCGCGAAAGTAAAAGACTATCTTTTTTTATAGCGAATTAGATAAATATTTTTTTGTAAATAATTTAATGGTATCTAACAAATTTAATGTACTTATATACTTATAAACTAACCGAATATCGACTTTCTGATTAAAAAAATTAAACACGAATTAAAATCATTAACGTATGTATATAAATATTGTATAACTAATAACTTGATAAACTTGAATTAAGATCTTGTATGTATGTATTATTATTATCCGGTGTATTATATTTTCTATATTATATTCTTTACCTCTAAAATTTGAAATTAACATTTTTCTTTGACAAATTTAAAAAATTTCAAAAGTTCTTCGATATAAATATTAGAAAAAAACATTTATGCAAAACTTGTGTAATAACATATATATTAAAGGAATTCATTAAAATTTGATAAAGTTGTGTTACAATTTTTTCAATGAGATTGTCAAAATTACATTTAAGATATATATATATATATATATATGTACCTCATATGTATATATATATGAAATGTCATTGATCCTAAGTTATATAGTTATGAGTTACAATATTTAATTTTGTTCATATATTTTATATATTTTATATTACATGTTACAAAGAAATGACATGTTAATTAAATTTGAATATATTACACTTTACTTACTTTAACTTAATTACACATGTAATATATCTAATATACGTAATACATTTAATATATTTCGGATTTCATTATGTTCTTACTAATAAGAGATATAATAATTAGCGATGATCATACATTTCGAGTTAGCGAAACATTATCTTTTTACTACAAAACTGTACTGTCAACGATAGGTAGCGACGTTTGAAGCCATCGCTACTTTTCTTTTTTTGTGTTTCACCGCGTGGCTCCCTCTGTCTTCTTTCATCTTCTTCCAGCTCTAAGTTTCTTTCCGTATCTCTTTCCTTTCAACATCTCTTTCTCATGAACGCGTTCTCTTTCTAAGGGAGGATCGTGGGCGGAAATTAGAATAACCAGTCTAGTCAGTTGTATTGTGGTCGGCGGGCGGTGCGCGTCTATTTCGTGGCAGTGGAGATTTTTTGAAATACCGCCTTTCTCTATTTGTATTCCAATATGCGAAAAAAGGATTTTTGTTAACTTTGATTCTAAGAAGGCTTAGGACTTGTAGAATTTAGTCTAAATAAATCAATCGTGATCTCGTTCGAATGGAAAGTTCAATGATATTTTGTGTATCCTGGATGTTTTGTCGGTTTCTCTCCCGGTGATCGATCTTGGATACATCGATTGGATTGCGTCATGACAGGCCTGCATTTATCGAAGGCAGCGTATGTATCATTATATAGACATACATTTCTTTATATAAACGAACTGTCAGTATGTATTTCTTTAAGTATTATTCTAATTTGATAAAATATGTTCACTTCTATTCATTTTTTGATTTGACTTATTACACTTTTCGTTGTAGGTATTATATTTATTTGTAAAATTTTAGTAGTATACTATTTGTTTGATGATAGTTGATCTAATATTTGGCATGACGAGTATATCTTATAGTAATTCATATATACTTATTAGTTTGTATTATGATGCACATAATTATCAAAGATAAATCTATCAACAAGTTACCTTAAATTGAGTAAAGATTATACTTAAATTATTTCACATTTTTACGTATTACGATTTTATATCAAGATGATAATTATAAAACAAATAAAACTAAAAAACATTGGAAGATCTAATTTAAAGTGCATTTACGATAAGATGTAAAATATAGCGAAATGGCTTAGTTGACTTTTATGCGCGTATTCAATGACACAGCGAACGTAGAGAATGTCAATGAGATTTATGAATGGTCGTATAATATATGTTAATAGCAGTTATTACGATACTAATACTAAAGAATTGATATAGATATTGATTGGTTGAATCAAATTTTATTTTATATCGGAAGACAGTGCAAAATTATTAAATTATATAAATTTATTTATATGTTCATAAAATGCAAACAACAGTAAAATCTCTTAACGATAGTACAGTTCATAGCCTATTAATTAAATTATAGATATTTAATAAAATTATATCGTGTTCAGAAATTATTTTCGAGGTAAATGTAATACATATGTTACATTTAATATTGATAAAGTGAGTTCTATATTATAGGCGATTCAAATTATGATTACTTAATATTGAATAATTTAAGTAGTTAACTATGAATTTATTGTTAGGGTTATTCATTATAAATCTTTACGTTAACCCTTAACTTTTGTCAAAGAACTTGACCAAAGTATCGAGATCTACGGTGTATAGGCGTTTTGTGTTGCCGTGATTCTAGTACGCGAACTGCGTATGTTTGCCACGCAATCGAGAAGTACGATTGGTAGAAGCGCGCGCATCAAATTTTAAATAGCCCGGGAGAAACCTTCGCCTCGGATAGCACGTTACGCTTTCTATTTGAGCGACACAATTTTCTATTTCTAATCGTTTCATTCATTCGATGACCGATTGAATCGAACCTTAATTGTAATTCGAAATCTACTACTACTATACCTTTTATTTAATTTTGTTTACTTTGAAATACTGAACATTTACGAATTAATTAATGTGTAGATTGTTGACGTTGGAGGACAATCCATACGAACTAATCTTATTAAAATGTACGGTTGTTGCGAAACACGTGTTACTGATTACAGTATATTTGTCGTTAACGATTAGTCATAATACATATGCAAGTATATGTATATACTAATATTAAAGAAAAATCGCAGCAAAATCACAACCAAATCGCGGTCAATTGATTCATGTCAAAACTATTCTAATGCGCGTGCGTACGCATACTCATGACCGTACCCCTCTCGGGATACAACTACGGATGTAATTACATCGCAAACGAGCCGGAAGTGGAAACGGTCTGGCCGGTTTTGCCGGTTAAATGGCCACTTTACACGCTCGATTGTTTCAACGAGTTGTTTAAAAAATACATTTTTGTCCTCGCGAATTTTCTTCTACATATATAGAGTCGATAAAATTAATATAAATTGGAATTATTTATATGATTACGATAGTTATATACATGTAATCGTTATAACTATTGCATCAATATTATAATCGATATTTTGTTTTCATATCTCTTGATGCAAAAAGTATCTTCTTAATAAATATTTATCAATTGAAATGAAAATTTTAAAAGAATTATTATAACATTAAAATAGAATTAAAATTATAAAGGAAGTAGCTTAATAGTCTTTTTTAGAGAATTAAATACTGCATCCAGAACGGTGTATAAAAAACAATGTATAGTTCCATTTAAGAAACCAAAGGTCACCTTGAGATCTCGAGAACCCCTCCACCTGGACAAGTCTGGTAGTGGTCATAAGACGTCCCCCTTGAAACAGAACAAGTTTTATTTGAAACGTTCCTTCGAATATCCGAATGTCGTACAGTTTAGGGGATATTTGCGTGGACCGATTAAAACGAGCCTGTATATTACTTCTTTTACTGCCATTTAAATTCAAATACACGATAATTATTTGCTAGGTTTTTATCAATTATCGTATTTATTGCTATTTGCTATTTACTGTTACTCCCTCGCTTAAGGGTGGCCTTTTTTAAGCTTACAATTCAATTTCTAGGATTACAGATTTATACATTTAAGGCAACTTTGTATACGTAGACTACGTTTCATGTGTATCTCACTCGTTTCTACTGGAAATTGGCTGTGATCAAATTCTAACGAGATGGAAAACACTTAGACACCGAGTATCTCGTTGAGAGATTTTACAACCGATAAAAATTAGAAATGCATGTTAACCGAGGACTTTGCAATTATTTATCGTTGTTTTGTACAACGAACATTTTCATTGCTTGCATACAAATTTTCCTTAATATCGTTATCATTGCTCTAGTGATCGAGGAATTGGTTGAAAGGTAACAAGCGTGGAAACTGTTTTAGGTGATGCCTCGGGAGCCTAATCGGGCATATCTGTTGGCCGTGTTGCTGCTATTGGTCGGTCTCCGCAAGGCTGGCTGCTCGACATCCGCTCCCCGATATCCGGTCTGTAAACCGGGTTTCGAATTTTGGTCGGTCGAGCGTGCCACCTGTTGGCCTTGCACCAGATGCGCTCCTGAATTCACTTTGAGTCCCTGCGCCATTTACAAGGATGCTATTTGCGGACCGCTCTCCGCTCTCGAGCTCGACTGGTCTTTCCTCTCGACCAGGAAACGACCGGAAACCGGCCAAAGGAGCCTCGAAGCGGTTACCTCGAAGATGTTATGGAGGTTCCCCGACTTGGACCAGCAACAGATTAGGCAAGAATCGAAGGATTTTGCAGACAATTCGCAGGAAGATATCCAATCGAAAACGAAGAACCAGGTATAAGGTCTACGGTATTAAGTTGGTTATCAGAATTCCATCTATCCATTTCCCATCCATGTCCAGTTATCCACTTAGCTGAATTCATCACGTTGAAAGACAAGTGATTTACTAGTGGCAGGGTGTGTCGCAACGCGTGACATCCATTTCAGCAGTGGGCACGAGAAACAATAAAGAAAGTCCATATGAACACGAGTCCGATTTGATTTTGTTTCAAAGTTAGTCATTTAATTATGCGTTTCAACAATTGGCAACAGTTTGCCTTCGTAGAAGACCCTTGAAATGGCTAGCCTCGGTCTGTACGCAAGCTTGCTGTCGTCCTATCAAAGTTTCGTGGTCTTTCAAAAATTCCAGGGGTATAATCGAATAATACAGAGTAATAAATTTGAGACAAGATCAGATAGGAAGTATGTTCATTGTTTTTATGCCTTCTGTCCATTCCTGAAATGGCTCCCATATGTTGCGATACACTCTGTGTATCTGGAGCTTGTTCATTAACGAATGGAACGTTAATTCTACAACGAAATTCTAGGTATTGAACGAGTCTCCTTATCCAAGGAGCGCAGCTACTTCCAAGGAGAGAATCCTGTGGGACTGGCAAACGGTCGCGCTGATCCTTGCAGTGTGCGCCTGTATTCTCTTTTTTCTGGTCGCAGGATGCTCGGCTTTGGTCTACGCGAGACAGTGGCGTCGGATGAAGAAA